AACTCTAACTCTCTGGTAAGGCAGGAAGGTAAGGAGTTCAAGGCCCGTACTCTCCACTTAGTAGGCCAGAGCCTTAAAAGAGCGGGATGGTGGAGTGGGGCGGGGGAGAAGGAGGAGAGCAGAAGAAATGAGGGAGAGGAGAGAGATGAAGTGATGTCACTTTGGAGAAGCAGGAGAGGGAGATGGGGACAGAGATACCCAAATAATACAGATGCAGATGTTCCTGTTCTCACCATTGCTGTTATTCTCGGCTTACCAAATGCTGAAATCATATCTAGCCAATGTTCTTTAACCATGATCTGCAATAATTGAGGAAAGTCTCCAAGAATCCTCACATAAAGATCAAAATCCCCATCGGCTTTAGCAATAATAGTGCATATTTTACCGAACTGGGCTTAATTAGTTCTTTTCTAGTTCTTATCTAAAATCTAAAGTCCAGCAGAATGGGCAGAGGTTTTTACAAGGACCTCTGAATTTTGAGTTGTTTGGAGTGGATCACTTTTCATTTATGTGTTGGTTTGTTTTAGACCTGCTAAGACCAGGTCTTGCTATGTTGCCCAGGGTGATCTGATTCATGATCTCTTATTTCAGCCCCTGGAGCAGCAAAATTGTGAGGCAGCTGCCTGGGGATTTATTGAACCAATTAATTTAACATGTACAGGGCAATGATCTAAGTTCTGAAGAAGTTAACTAAGACCTTGGCTAGTTTCAAGAAATGTATAATGTCTGCCAAGGTCTTAAAGCTGCATTATCTTGGAATGTAAAATGCATAGTGAGAGAGAGCCTGGCATTTGATATGGTATAGATTTGGTATAGATTCATCTATTTCCTGTGTGGCCTGAGTTTCCTCAACTGTATTTTGGAAGCAGCCATCACTATCTCCATGAGCTTGTGAGGCGTATGTAGCTATGTGTTTGATACTCAGCATGTATTCTTTGAACACATTAAGAAGATGGTCTATTGAGAATCAGACATAATGTAGTCAGAAACACCACACCACGTAAGAGCCATGGAAAATCATAGTGTAGTCAAAGAAGAGACACAGAGAATCAAAAGGACATTGAAAGGGGCTTCTGCCTACTGACTGGGAATTAGGTTGAGATTTTGTGCAAATGACAGTTGAGTTGACTCCTTAAGGAAGCATGTGGCATTGTCACAGTTGTGTGTGTGACAGCAGTATTCTTAAGTAGAATGATGATCTGTATGACAGCCTGGAGATGGAGAAGCTGCCGTTTAGGCAGGAAAGCATTGGGAGTTAGAGAATGGTGAATTGTACTAGTAAACACTCTTAGCATGTCTGGTTTTTAGTGTGCATATGTGGTGATATTTTGTATGTGTCAAGAACCACCAGAGATGTTTTAGATGTGTTGTAAGAACGCTGTGTTTTGATAATGGGTCAGGAAAGGGAGAGTCTGCAACAAGGAAGACTATGGCAAAAAGAGTTAGATTACAAGATTACAAAAGATCACAGCCATAACATGAATAATTGCCCTTCAGTTAGCTAGTGAGAAATGATATGTAAAGGAAGAATTTAAAATGATTCTGAGGTTGAAATCCATACAGTTGGGATAATAACAGTATTATTTTCAAACACAATGGAAATGAGCAGGTTGCAAGGAAAAATTCTGGTTTTAAACATACTGAGTTCAAATTTTACATGGCAGGAAGGATAGCCAGCCAGAAATGTCATCTTGAGATAGTTGGAACCGTAAATGTGCATTTGGGAATCATCCGCAAGGGAGTGATAGTTGGAATCCTGAGAGCGAATGAGCCCGAGTGTGGCTAAGAAGAAAACCATCCAGAGAAACCCCTAACGGAATGTGTGGTTGTGTCCGTGGAGGAAGTGGAGACTGCAGAAGAGGGAGAAGCTGTAGAGTAGAATAGAAAGAAATGGGACTACAGTTTCTCATAGCTACTAAAACTAAAGGGATTTCACAGTGAGATATTTAGGTTTCTGAAAGAGATGCTGTTGATAGGAAGAATAATTGAGTGCTTGTTTTTAGCAGTAATCTGCTATTTTAATATATTAAAATTATATTTGAAAGTTTGTTCCTACCTTGTTTTTTTTTTTTTCTTTTGAAGCTAGGTCTCTCCGTGTAGTCCTGATTGCCCCAGAACTCGCTCTGTAGACCTGGCTGGCCTTGAACTTACAGAGATCTGCCTGCCTCTCTGCCTCTTGAGTGCTGGGATTTAAAGGTGTGCAGCAGCATGCCCAGCTCTTCATTTCTACCTTTGATAGATAGGTTTTGGTATCTTCCTTTCTTTGGAAAACAATAAATTAGTCATTCACAGCTTATTTCATCAAATAAATTGCATGACCCCTTTTTCACGCAGAAAATATCAAAATATAAATATTATTCAATAGTTAAAACTTTGTTTACAAAAATAATATCTCTTCATTTTCTTTTCTATTTTAAACTTTCTTTTCATTCATTCTTTGTGTCTTCCACACCGTGCATCTCGATCCCATTCATTGCCTCATCCCTTCGTGTCTGCCCTCTGCCCTTGGAACCCCCCCAAAAAATAAAATAAAATTTAAGAGAAAAAAATAAAAGAAATAAAAGAAAAATATCATCATAAATCTCCTCATGGAAGCTGTAGTGTGACAGCAAGTCATGCACTATACCTTTTTATCCGTCTGTCTTTACTTGCTTGTGTTCATTGCAAAGAATCATTGGTCTTTTTTGAGGCCTCTGGTTTCTGCTACACCACTGATCCTGGGCCATCACTGGGGGTCCTCTTGAATATCCTGTTGTTGTCCTGTGTCATGGAGATTCTGCAACTTTGGATCTTCAGGACCTGTTCCTTCCTGTGCTTTAGCAGATCATAGATGGGGTGGATGTTGGGATGGGACAACTCTTAGAGGGCAGGTTCTGGGCCTGGGTAGTTGTAGAGTTGGTCAGCCCACCAGCTCTTCCCTCTCCTCACTACCAGGATGAGCTCTCCAGCATTGCCCTGGCTAGGTCACCTTTTGCAGTGATGAGCAAGGGACTGGACCAGTTCTCCTGCTCTCATACTCTGTGGCTAGCTCATCCACACTCATACCACCAGGGCCAGCTCTCCTGTTTGGCCCAGGCAAGGTGCAGGGGCCAATCTCCTGAGTGCAGCAGCTGGTGAAAGACAGGGACAACTCTCTAGCTCTTATAACCTTAGGGTCAGCTCTCTCACCCACCAGTCACTTCATTTTCTTAAACAAATTCATGGCCTTTGAAGGTAGAAAGGAGCATCAAAAACAAACAAACAAACAAACAAAACAAAACAAAAAACTTATGTGCTGATGATGCATGGTGATGGTCTGGTGCTGGTGGTACGTGGTGATGGTATGGTGCTGATGCTATGTGGTGACAGTCTGGTACTGATGCTGTGTGGTGATGATCTGGTACTGATGCTGTGTGGTGACGGTCTGGTGCTGATGTGCATGGTGACGGTCTGTTGCTGATGCTGTGTGGTGATATCTGGTACTGATGCTGTGTGATGATGGTCTGGTACTGATGCTGTGTGGTGATGGTCTGGTCCTGATGCTGTGTGGTGACAGTCTGGTGCTGATGTGCATGGTGACGGTCTGGTGCTGATGCTGTGTGGTGATGTCTGGTACTGATGCTGTGTGGTGATGGTCTGGTACTGTTGCTGTGTGGTGATGGTCTGGTACTGATGCTGTGTGGTGACGGTCTGGTGCTGATGTGCGTGGTGACGGTCTGGTGCTGATGCTGTGTGGTGGCGGTCTGGTGCTGATGCTGTGTGGTGGCGGTCTGGTGCTGATGCTGTGTGGTGGCAGTGTGGTGCTGATGCTGTGTGGTCTGGTGCTGGTAACATATAGATAGTGCTGATGATGACTGGTGCATGGTAACAGTATGATAATTGCAGTTAACACTTACTGAACAGTCCACCGTATCTTTTGTTAAGTGTTCTGTATCACTTACCAATACTGATTATTTACTGTGTACTAAGAATTAATCTGGAAACTTAAGATAGTTTAGTAAACAAGGCAAATTGAAAGTCTTGACTTAAAAGAGTTTTCCTTTAGTACAGTCAGACAAACCATTGCCAATGAGTATAATATAAATATATAAACTACAAGAAGATGGATGGATATTGTGGGAAATTAGAACAGGGTAGGAGGAATCAGAAGTACTGTTGGGGTTGGATAATGGAGGTAGGATGTATTATAATGATGGTGGCAGAATGTGTAAGCTGAAAAGTTATATGGAAGGTTTTTGTTCAAATATCTGAGAACACCAGGCAACAATAATGGAATAATGTCTGCAAAGATTCTATTACCATCACGGTGTTAAATATATGGACAAAGGAAAGCATGGGCTTAAGATTTAAATACATATGATGAACTCTACTATTCAAAGGTCGCTCTCAGTAATAATTTGGAGATGTTTTGAGCATACCCAGAATATATACTGTTTGTGCTATTGTTACCAAAGTGTGCCTATTACTGATAATTAAAACTATTTCTGTTGTTAAATTTATAGAGGTAGGATGTTTTCATAAGGTTGCACCTACTCTGACTGATGTCTCCACGAGGGTGTTTTGCAGTCCCTGAAAGCAGTTGCAGCCCTACAGTTTATGCTGCAGTTAGACTTCAAAGCATTGTTTTTATCCAGTCTTACTGTTTATGATTGCATTTGAGAAACCTTCATTAGTATGTAAGAGCTGCACAGGTATTTAGCCTTCACTATTCAAATATTTTAACATGATGTTTCCATCAAAGATACTCATGACTTGTTCCTACCAAACTTTAAAATGTTGTTTATCTACCTCGCTGTCAGGCAGATGCCATGGGCGAACACTGACGATAATAACTTGAGGTTTATGTCTCGCTCTCAGAGGCAACAGTTGTCGTGAACTGACAGCTCTGAAGGACCTGCACTGACATCAAAGGTTTCCCATGATCTAGTTAGGTCAATTAATGGTAATTTTTATCTTCCATTAAGTTCTTTTAATGTCCCCTTCCCACCTTTTTTCTTTTTTCTTTCTTTTTTATATTCTAGCCAAGCCCGATACCAAGTCCTGTTCTGGGGCAAAAGCCAAATGCTAGTCAGTCCTTGCTCGCATGGTGCAAAGAAGTTACAAAAAACTACCGGGGTGTGAAAATCACTAACTTTACTACATCGTGGAGAAATGGTTTATCTTTTTGTGCAATCTTACACCACTTTAGACCAGACTTAATGTAAGTAGAAATGTCATAAATATTGTAAATAACAGGCATTCTTAAAAGAAAATAGAATAATTTCTTAGCATGTATCCTAAAATACTTGACTATCTCTGTGTTTGAACTATAGAACTTTCCTTTTTTGAGAAGTATATGCCAGGAAACCAATCTTTTTCTCAGTACCTAAAAATTATTTTTCTATTTTTTAAAATGATTTTTCTCTTTAATCTTATTAAAAAACTGACTTTATTATGAAATTTTTATTAGTGTTCAAATAAGAGACAAGTAAGCCTGTAGCCCTTTGTATATTGTTAATAAGGGATTATCTCATGCTAAATTTCATTGTTAAAGCTAGTCTCTGTTTCTCTGCCTTAACTTCTCTTTTAGAGATGGAAAGCTTCAGGCAATGGAACATATAATCACGGTTTATTTATTTATTTCTTCAATTTTCCACACTATTAGCTTTGTTGATTGAACCTCTATGAAATTGCTAGTTACCCTTTGATAATATTGAATATCAAATTTTTATATTCAGTTTGTTTTAGTTATTTTTTTATCAAATATTACATATACTCACTGTGCCATTTTCTCCCTCAGTGACTACAAGTCTCTGAATCCTCAAGATATTAAAGAAAACAACAAAAAGGTAAGAAATGCCGGGGAAGGCATAGTTTCAATTTTGACTTCGCTGCAAGTTTTTGTTAATTTGAGAAAGGCAGTGGTGTTGAATGAGGTCATAACTGCAATTTACAGAGGTGAACTGCTTTCTGCAGTTTAAATCCGGTACATAAAAATCTGGTTGGATCATAGTTTGTCGTGGATTGTAAGGATCACAATGCAAGGCAGACATCAGAGTCTGTGCATGCTCGTCATTAACTGTTAAGTATTTCTTAAACCATATTGCTTTTGGTGCAACATTTAGCTTGAAGAATATCCCAAAGCTTTCATAACTATTAGTAATTTTAGAAAAATGTTTTAAGAGATGAAAGCAGGAACCTAAGGGATAAGCAGAAAAAAATACACAGGCTTGTAAATGCAAAGCGATGATAAACAATGGTTCTTTTACTTCCTAGTTAAACATATATATATTTTCATATATAATTATATAATTATCAGAACTTCCTAACTGAGGATATTGATCCCATCAGCCTCAGAGCGACCGCATGGAGATTTGCCGGAGCCTCGTGGGCCAGCTGACTGTGGTTAAGGCTGATGAATGTGTTTATCTTGTGTGCAGTATAGTATATGTAATTTTCAATGTGCAGAGAAAGCAATACCAAGGTCTGCTCACAATACATGCTCAGTGTTTGTATTGAATTGAATTTTTCAACTGAAAGCCAGTGTTATTGTTATCTTAGAATAGGCATTTTTAACCTGTAGATTCTATCTCTAAGTCTGTCTGCAGATAGGATTCAGCAAGTCCTTGAATGTAGAATTCAGCAAGTCCTTGGATACAGTTGAAGGAAAACATATTTTTATACTATATTGTATCATAATTCTGTGACTGAACTTGCGTTTTTCCTTCAGTTGTGAAGCTGGTGACAAGTCACAGTTGTGTTAACCATGCCAAAGGTTTTGTTTCCTGTATAAATCATATATCTTCATATTTTACTACAGTTGTTGGAGCTCTCTGCAAATGACACTTTCGAACCTCTTCAAATTATTCATTACTGACTGGACATGGTAGCACACTCCCGTTATCCCAGCACTTCGGGGAGGAGGCAGTGGGATTAGTTCATGGTCCTTGGTCAGCCTGGACTACATGAAATTCATTGCCAAAAGATCTCAGAGAGGAAGGTGGTAAATAACTACTGATAGGGACAAAAAATTTTAATATACTTTAAATCATTAAATTAGAGGAACTATCACTTTTTTAAATCTTACAGTCTTGGTAGAAGTTTAATTAACAAGAATTTAAATCAAAGCAATTTTTTGCTTGATGTGGGTTGTAGAGTTATAATACATTTAAAAGTATCATTTTTTTGTAAATAGAAATATGCCACCCCAAAGGGGTAGTCTTTGAAAATTAGTCCCTATTCTTCATAGAGATTGCCTTTGGGGTGGGAAGTTAACTAAGTGGAAGAAAGCTTGAAGGCTCTGGGGTCACTCCCCAGCACTTTCTGGTAGACATTCTACAAGGTAAACCCATCTCATGAATTACTTCTTACATAATTTTAGAAAGCTTATGTTTATTAAAGGGAAATGCCTTTTTTCTCATTAATTAAACTATATCCATGGAGGTGACATTTCTTTATCTTCCTTTTCCTGCTAAATTACATGCAGATGTTGGCATTGTAGAATGAACTGCTGACGGCCAGTCAGTGGTATCACACACCTGTAAGGCAGGAGAGCTCTTGCGCTCTTGAGTTCAACACTAGCTTGGGCACCAGAGCAAGACCCTATCATTTAAATGATGATTACTTTTTAAGTAGAGCTTTTCTTACTATTCTAATTTTTGAAAAGGAAACATTATTGATTTTGCCTAACTGTATATATTTTTAATTATAAAGAGAACTTCACTAAGGTTTAAGTAACATGGACTTACATGCGGGTTTACATATTACTGCCTAGGGAAGAATATTCCATTTACATGTTTTCTTGAGACAGGCAATGTAGCTAAGAAAGTGTTTAGCATGGCTAGATGCTGGTTCAGTCCCCAAGTATCCAATAGATCTTCCATGATAGTTAATCTTGATTTTTAATAAGATTTTTTTAACACTGATTCTTTTCTTACACTAGTCAGTATATGTCAACATACGTCGTTACAGTGTTACATACTGTGACGTCTACACTGAAAATCCTAGACACTACCTATGTGCTGTGTACTGTCCTACTGTGCACGGTTCTCCATGGCAGGCTTTGCTGTCAATTGCAGTTATAGTAGCCAAGAAGCAAAATCTTTGTCTTAAGTTCCACTTTTATTTGTAATATAATTGTCAGTGACTCTTCCGTAATGAACTTACACCTCAGAGTAAACACGTCAATTTCCTTTGAGAAAAACCTTGGCTGTTGAGCTGACTCAGTGGTAAAGGTGCCTGTTGCCAAACCTGACACCCCAAGTTCTGTCCCAGAGAGTCACGTGCTGGAAAGAGAATATACTGTCGCAAGTTATCCTCGGACCAGCACACACCCATAGTGGTAACCATGTCCACCCTCTCTCCCAGCACGCACATGCTAATGTACACACACACTCACACACTAGATAGATAGATGATAGATAGATAGATAGATAGATAGATAGATAGATAGATAGATAGATAGATAGATAGATAGATAAAAATAGATGATAGATAAGCGATTTTAAAAATATTTTTTGAACAAACAAAATCGTCTTCCTTCTTCACACGCAAATACAACGTGTGATTGACCATAGCAGAAGTTAATCTGTGAGAAAATTCTTTGGCAAAATTTATCTCATACATAAGAAACCTGGTTTGTTTTAAAGTGCAATTAGTGTGCATAAAATGAATTGCTGCATGAAGCAAAACACCAGCAGGAGTTTGCTCTCAAGGAAGCTGATCATTTTTTCAGGTCTGGAGAAAGAAGTCAGTATAAGGGTGCTTAGCTGTGGCATCTGCACTGGACCAATATGTCCGCGTTTTAGGTAATTAGGAAATGTTCAGAGCACTGCCTGCGGTGCTTTTCCTGATGGCCTGCTGTTGATGTCTGTCAATCAGGTAGTCAAGACACACAAGGAAGAAAATGACTTTAATTTTCATAAAACATGTAAAATAACAAACAAGTCTATACATGCACACCAACTGAGCCGCCTCTCCAGCAGATATTTTGAAGTATCTGTATTATAAAGCATTATTCTATGGAAATTGAATAGGTCTTAATAGCACAATTTATTTTTCATTTTCTTTCTTCACATTTGTTAAAGCTGTAAGAAGAATACAGACTAAGTTCAAAAGCATAAATTTACTATAAAAGCACAAAAATTCTTTTGATTGAATAATTTCCTAACACTTCTTTTAAGAGAAACATTAAGTGTGCTCTTAAATGCAGGTTGCTGTCAAGAAGAGAGATTTTTAACATGTAAAAGCAATAGTGTGTGTGTGTAGGGTCCTTCCTTTCTGAAGTCTACCTAAACCTTCAGGGAGACTCTGAATGCTTCCAGTGACAGTGCTGTTTCAAGGGGTTAGTTCAGGATAGCAATAATTAATTGTAAATTGAGAAACAGCTTTGGTTCTTCAAAACCAGAAAAACCTGATGTACCACAGGCGTTTAAAGGCTAACAAAATAATACAGTGCAGCCTCACAGGCCCAGCTACGTTGCAGTGTTCAGAGCACTTCATCTTTTCCAGAACACAGGGAGGAAAATGAAGTCCCTGTCTGTCCTCATTTGAAAACCATCCCTCAGTGTGTATTTGAAAGCATCTCTGCGCTTTAAGGTTAAATAAAATTTGTTTGTATTTCAAAGCCAACAGTGTGAGTTAGTTCTCTACACCATGCAGGGTTCTTCGCTGTACTCACGTGGTTGTGAAAAGGGGCGGACAGGGCTGATGGAAACGGGGACTTGCTATCCTAACATTTCACACACCTCAGTCCTCATCGTAAAATTGTATTCAAAGACTTTTGTTTAACACAGTTCTTGCTTAGATTATGCTCGTGGATAAATACGTTATTTAGTAGGATTTTCCCCTTTTCTCCTTTTTACTCATTTTTTGTTTACTTGAAATTTTATTTTTTCCCCTGTGGTATAATAATTTTATATACCCTACAATAACAAGAAGCTTTAGAATTTTGTTCTTTTTAAAATAGATGTCTGAGCTGCTCAGTATATCATATTTGTTTGTCCCTTCTTCTCTTTGAAGGCTTATGATGGATTTGCCAGCATTGGAATTTCCCGTTTACTGGAACCTTCTGATATGGTTTTATTAGCAATCCCCGACAAACTGACTGTTATGACTTATCTCTATCAAATAAGGGCCCATTTTAGCGGTCAAGAGCTCAATGTGGTTCAGATAGAAGAAAACAGCAGTAAGAGCACATATAAAGTTGGAAATTATGAAACAGACACAAACAGTTCTGTCGATCAAGAAAAATTCTATGCGGAGCTGAGCGACCTGAAGCGGGAGCCTGAGCCGCAGCGGCCTGCCAGTGGGGCAGTGGATTTCCTGCCGCAGGGTGACGCTGTGTTTGTCACTGATAGTGGAGTAGGAGAGTCCGAGAGTGAGCACCATACCCCAGATGACCACCTGAGTCCAAGCACAGCCTCCCCTTCCTGCCGCAGGACTAAAGGTGACCCGGAGCCCCACAGGTCCCAGCAGAGCTCGGGAAGGACTTCAGGGTCCAATGACCCTGGGGTAAGTTCCAGTACAGATGCAGCCCAAGCACTGGTTTTATCTGGCAAGAAGAGGCTCCTGAAAGCCGAGAACTTAGAATTAAGTGACTTACATGTCAGTGGTAAAAAGAAGGATGTGTCTCCACCCTCGATTTATGAGCAAAAGCCTCAGATGGTAAATACCAGCAGTGACTTGGAACAAGAGAAAATAGGGAATTCCAGACCTTTAGAATGCAGATCGGATGGTGAATCGACTATCAAAAAGCCAAGTTTAGCCCCTCCTTCTAAACTTGGTTATTCATACAATAGAGATACAGACTTCACGAAAAAAGTATGTACTTCTCTGAGGCAGTCAGAGTCTGATCCAGATATGGACAGAAATACTTTAAATCATGCAGATTCCTCCACCAAAACAGTGCAGGTAAGTGGGCCACAGCGATGGGTATATGTTTAGTAAATAGCTATTCTGTCTTTCTTATTCCTTTGTGTTGACAGAACACTTAAGGATATTATGTAAGAATGAAAGTAAGGTCTCATTTATCAGAGAAAAGTAAAAAAAAAAAAAAACTATACCTGTTATATATTTAAAGTTTGTATTGGAATTTTGTGAGCATAACTTTAAGGTTGAAGGACAAGGAATGTCAGCTTTTCAAATCGAAATGTCATTTCTAGGGATGGAGAAGTGGTTCTGTAGTTAAGAGCCCTTGCGGCTCTCTCAGAGAACCCAAGTTCAGTTCCCAGCCCTGTGTGGTGACTCTCAGCTTCCTGAAACTCTAATCCCAGGAAGTCTAACACCTTCTGGCTTCTGCACATGCCTTGCATTCATGCTGTGTGCATAAATTCATACGGGCTCACAAGTATACACATAAAAATAAATAAATGGAGCTTTTTAAAATGTCATTACTTGGGGAGATAGCTCAGTGGTTAAGAGCACTGGCTGCTCTTCCAGAGGTTCTGAGTGCAACTCCCCGCACCCACGTGTGGCTCAACCGTCTGTAGTGGGGTCAGTTGTCCTCTTCTAGGGTAAAGCTGTACATGCAGATGGAGAACTCAAATACGTAATTTAAAATTTTTTAAATGTCATTGCTTATAATAAATAGTATTTACCATTAGACTGTCAAGGAGGTTTGGCATGGTACATACTAATGTAGTCCCAATACTTGGATTCTGATGCAGGAGAGCCAAGAGTTCAAGTCCAGCCTTAGCTGTATCAAACAGAAATTCAAGAGTATTTCAGTATTGCAGGTAATGCGAGCATAGTTCTAATATGTGCTTGCCAGATTATTTCCTTCCCATTAAAGCCCTGTCCTTAGCTGTCTTAGTTGCAATAGAACAGCATTGTCAGTTGTGTCATTACTTATGGCTTAAGTTCACTGCCTCCAAGGCTTGCCAGGATGCAATACCAGCAGTCTGAGGCAGGAGAATCATTAGTTTGAGACCATCCTAGCTACATAGCAAATACCAGGCTAGCCTGGGCTAAAAAATAAAACCCTACTTTGAAAAAATTGAAATAGGATTCTAGTAACATCCATATTTCTTCCGAAAAGGGGAATATAGCTTAATGTTGAACTCTTACCCATGATATTTCTCATATTGATTCTCTGCTACTGTCAGGATAAGGGTGTGTGTGTGTGTGTGTGTGTGTGTGTGTGTGTGTGTGTTAGCACATGCGCACATGTGTAACACAGAGAAAGATTTAAGTAGAAGAATAAAACCTTTACTGATAAAATTATGATGCCTGCCTGCTTTTCTTTTTCTTTTAGATTTATTTTCATTTTGTGTGCTGTGTATATATGTGTGGGTGTGGATGTCTTTACAGTGTGTTTGTGAGTTTGTGAGAACCAAGAATCAATGTCAAGAATCTTTCTCCCTCTCCACTTTAGTTTTTGAGACAGGGTCCTTCACTGAACTGCTCCTCAGTTCCTCTGGGCGACTGGCCACTGGGCCCTGGGGCTTTGCCCGTGTCCGACACTCTAGGGCTGGTCCCACAGACACACACCTGGGTCTTCGCATGGATGTTAGGTGTCTAACTCAGATGCCCATGCAGTAAAGGGTTAGGGACTTCATGACTCAACCATCTCTCCAGTCAAAATACAGTTTTCATAGTAGGATTTTTTCTTACATTTATGTGCAGGTGCTCTTTGAAACTTGGGCATAGATTTTCATCTCCCACCCCACAGCCCTTCTCTCTTAGACGGGGACTTATGTATCTCAGGCTGCCCTCCAGCTTCCTGAGTGCTAGGATTAGAGGCATGAGCCACTGTACCCAGTGAGTGTGGTGATTGGGATTGAAGCCAGGCTTCAAGCATGGGAGGCAAGCATTCTATCAACTACATTTTCAACACATTTACATGATCATTTTAAATGAATTTTTAAGCAAACTAAACTGAATAAGGTATTTCTAATTTTTTTCACTTTTACAAGCCAACTTTTTGAATCACTCTTTGATGTAAAATTGTTGGTAGTCCCCAATCCCCAGAATTCTGTCTGCCAACACACAGCAGTTCTGAAGCACTTCTTAGCATATTATCTGAGAGCCTGGGGATGTAACTCAGAGCAGGAGTTCTTGCCCAGTATGCTTGAGGCCCTGGGACCAATCCCGAATACTGAAAACAAAACAAAACTGGGGGCCATGAAGCTCTTCCAGACCCTTTAAATAATCCTCAAAGTTAAAAGAATGACGTTCTGTGGTATTGTTTAACTTTATGTCTGTTATCCTCTCACAGATAATGTTTTCTGAAGGCTGTATGACTCCAGTATTCCAGCAGACTGACTGCGAGCATCGGGAAATCTCCCTGCTCTTCCCTTTCTAGATTTTTATTTTTGTAAGGTGGCACTCACTGACTCACACACAAATACACACTCACACACGCATGCACAGACAACTTTTAGGAGTTGGTTATCTCCACTGAGGGCTTCAGGGATCGAATTCAGGTCATCAAGCTTAAAAGCAAGTGATTTTTTTCACTGAGCCATCTCATTGGCCCTTAACTGATTTTTCTTAATGAAAATGAAAAATTCCAGTCCTTATTAGTTTGTGTTTGTTTTTAAAACCAGGGGTTTTAACTAAAATGTTGCTATTTAATGTGTTTAGATATTTCTAAATGAAACATATTTTTTAAATTTCTCAATTTTCCCAAAATGGCCAAGATCCAGGGGTATATCTCACACAAGCAAAACTCCTTGGTATTCTTCGTAATTGTTAAAACACAGCTGTAAGGAGGTCCTGAACCCCAAAATTTGAGTACTTAAGAATTACAGCTTGTCTATCTTAGATTTTCTTCTAAGTCAGTGATACTAATTGATAAAAGTGTTTTCTTGACTTTACTGGAAGGTGTCAGTGTGAAATTTTGGAAAATAGTCAGAGTTCTGAGCTTTTCTCATTTAGTGCTCTTAGTGCCGTAGCCACAAGGTCCACATCTGTCTAGGCCAGCACGACCAGAACGATTGGGGAAAATGCCTTCTGAATTGAACTGCACAGCCTCCCTTTCTTCCATTAATCTGTAAAATGTAAAGGCCACGTGTTTTAGTACAGGAGGATGTGCGTAGATTGTCTACTGTGCTGCTTTGTGTAACTGGTACAAGCATCTGTATGAAGTCGGCAAGGGACCTGGGAACTAATCCTGAGGGAGGACTGCATGGAGCACGTTGCAGTCACACCGTCTACAGTACCCTGTGATCTGTAGGCAGACCGCTGTGTCTGGGTTGTGAGTGGGTTGCATAGATTGTAAGGTCCATCATTGGTGAGTCTGCAGAGGTGTGCTAAAGAAATGGGAGTGTCGGACTCAAAGAAATACAGTAGTAGAGAAGGCAGAATTGATCAAAACATGGTTTATGCATGCATGCATGGAAATGTCACGGTAAAATGCATTAGTTTTCACAATTATGTAAGGTCATTTTTACAATAAAAGCACACTGTAGCCTTCAAAAAAAGCTTCCATTCCCACAAAGAAAAATCATAAAGGTTCTAGGTAAGTAAATCTCCCTGAAGTTTTGTGATAGCACAGAGTTTATATATAATAGATACCAAATAAATGTCTACTGAATGACAGTTACAGAATTTGATGAGTCTTAGTTCTATCAACATAGATTTTTTTTTCTTATAAGCCATATTTTGAGGCAAATGTGTTTAAAGATAGAAATTAATTAATCATTAAAATCAGGAATAATCTAAGAACCTGAATTCTCATTTTGAATTTTTCTCCAATAATTATCCATGTGATATATTACCTGGCATTTTAAACTGTCTGTTTTATTTTCCACAGAGGTTAAATTAACTAATATCGAAGAACCCACTTAACTCTCAGATTAGATTATGCTTTGAGTCTATCCACACAATTAGTTTGCTACACAGGATGGTGAAAATAACCACTGATTTATAGTATCTTGTATGCTTGGTTCTTTGGCTGTGCTTTATGTTCTGAAAGTTTTGCATAGAGTCAAGGCAAATGTGGTAGTCCATGCCTGCAATCCCCATCACTAAGGAGGCAGAAGGAGGTGCCTTGCCATGAGTTCTAGACCAATCTGAGCTACAGAAGAAGAGGGAGGGAGGGAGGGAGGAAGGGAGTGAGGGAGGGAGGGAGGGAGGGGAAGCAATTTTGCTTAGGATAAGTATGAAGGTTTATTTGACACTAGGTTACATTGTCACACACCAAAAATGTAATGTAGATATTGGTGTTTGGTAGGATGTAATCACAGCTAAATTTTATACAAATGTCTGCTTCTCTTTTATATATCATGTAATAAATTTCAGACATACACCTTTTTGTATTTTAATGTCTATAAAATCTTTGAAAGAAGAGATGTTATGTCAGAATTTGTTAGTGATTACTCTTTCTTAATACTTAATAATATAGCATGAATCTTATGAGCATGTCCTCACAGGAGGTACGATATCTCATATGAACTTAGAGACCCACCACTAAATCTCTAGTACATATGACAATTGTAGCTTACCTGTGTCTTCCTTAACCTGTACATCCATGAAGGGTTGGAGCCTGTTTGACATGTGGGAAAGTGGCACTTACAGGGTGCTTATGACTGAAGGGCATCTTAGCAGTGTGTCTCAAGTGACCTTACGTTTGTGTTGGGGCTGAGGAAGAAGCATGAACTCCTGAGTGTGGATCCCCAGTGCCCACAAAGAAAACTGAGAGTGAAAGTGTGTGCCTGTCATCCTAGTGCTGGGCAGGGGAAGACAGGCTTATCTGGGACTCGCAGGCTGCTAGCCTAGCCAAGCTGCGGGAGAGCCCAGAGTCATGTCTGTAAAAGTAAGGTGGGACTAACCAGGACACCCAACTTGACCTCTGGCCTCCACATACACATAGATGTGCATGCACTTACACACACACACACACACACACACACACACACACACACACACACCCTAAAAAATGTTCATGTTGGTCAGGCTCAATGACTCACAACTGAGTCCCAGCTATATGAGAAGCTTAGGCAAGAGAATTATAATTATTTGAACTGCTTTTGGGGGAAAAAAAATAAAAAGCTTGCTAGGCAGCATGTGGCTGTCAATCACAGGTTCTCAGAAAACTTCTTCAGGAGGATCACAAATTTATCAAGACTCAAAATAAAATTAAATATGGCTGGAATGTAGCTCAGTGATCCTAAATTCAATCCCGTGTATCACCAAAACCTAATACATTATTCTAAAAAATTTTACCTAAGAAAATAATAAGATTCAATCTTTATGTATAAAGGTTCATAAACACATTTATGGTAGTGAAAAACTTGCCAACATCCCATGTGTCCAGTAAAATAGGAACTACATTTTTAATTAGAAGCAGAGTGTTTATGTGCTTTTAAGCTCAAAACACATTGTGTGGCAGCTCGAGGTTGTGGACTACAGAATTTAGATTGGGGTCTTCAAGCAGGTCAGTCCCTTTATTTCTAAGAAAATGATGGGGTTAGCATACAGTAATATTGAATCTTTAGCTTGTGCTTACCATGCGCCAATGTTTTTGTGTTATTCTCTTACATTGTGTTTGTGTGAGCTGATCTGCTCTCATGCCCATTTTGCACAGGAAGAAACATGTTTAGAGAGATGGAGTAATTTGCCTATAATTAAGAAGTGGAGCTAACATATGTCTGATTCTTAAATTTTTAAACTAATATGGATATTGTGCTTTTGTTTAATAACACTTAAGAACTGGCTTCCAGTTGGGCATGGTGGTGCACACTTTTGATCCCAGCACTCAGGAGGCAGGAGCAGACAGATCTGTGAGTTTGAGGCCAGCTTGGTCTACAAAGTGAGTTCCAGGATAGCAAGGGCTACAGAGAACCCCTGTCTGGAAAAACTAAACAAACAAACAAACAAAAATATTGGCTTCCTTTGGTGGCCAATATTTGTTGTTCTCCAAAAATTCATTGTAAAATTATGTAGTCCATAATATTTTCAATTCTACTAAGGTCGTTTGTTTTATTATGAAGAGAATTCTCAGTGGAGGATAGTTTTGTGGAGTGTGGTGGCACATGCCTGTAATCCCAGATGCTGGTGACAAAGGTAAGGAAATTGAGCATTCAAGGCTAACCTGAATTAGCTACATGAAGAGTTCAGGGCAAGCTCAGGCTACATAGTGAGACTCTTAACTAAATAAATAAACAAATAACAGCTTGGGATTTTTTATAAATATTTCCAAAATTTTAAAAGAGTATTGCCACAGATATTTTAGCATTGAACACTTTATAAAGTGAAGATAAGTAGTTGTCAGTTCCGTGAGACTATAAAAATATAATGGAACCTTTTTTATATCTTTGGTTGGTAGATTATACTATATTTATGAGAAAACATGAATATATCTAATATTGACACACACCTTATGAGAATATGTTCAAATAAAATCTAATGAGGGTTTCCTGGTTGGTGTAAGCACTAGCCATGTAAGCCTGATGACCTGAGTTTCATTCCATGAATTCACAATGGGAGGAGAGATACAGCTCACCAAAGTACCTAGTTATACTCACACATGCACTATGGTATGTGTACACCTGCACTCATGCACACACTTCATGCACACACACAGTAATAATATTAATAAAATTTTAAATTTTAAAATGCATTGAAATTTCATCCAGCATTAAGAAATAATATTATGTTTCATTTTTGTCAAAATGCATGTGTTCATTCTACAGTTTCTTCTCAACATTAATATTTTCTGTAAATACTCCTGTTAAAAAAGGCTATACATCTGACTTTTTATTTAAATAGGTAGTCTAACCTTTAACTGTATTTTTATGGTTTGGCTTCTAATTCTATGTCCTTGCTTTTAAGCACCGAATGTTGTCCAGACAAGAGGAGCTGAAGGAAAGAGCGCGAGTTCTGCTTGAGCAAGCAAGACGAGATGCAGCTGCCAAGGCCGGGAGCAAGCACGCGGGCAGCGCAGCCCCGCCGCTCTCCAGCGGGCAGCAAAGCGATGTGAGAAACGCTGTTTGCACAGACCACATGTTGTTCACAGTAATCACAGCTGTGCTGGGGTCAAGGGGAGTGACTCGCTCAGTTACTTTCCGTAGGTTGTACATTGTGGCTACGTGGTCATTCATTCAGCTGGTGAATCCATCCAGTGGGACCGGTCACACTGTTACTGCTGTGTGGTGCTGCTAGCTGTGAGGGAAAGGACAGTTCTGGACTAGAATTACATGCTATAAATATCTGGTTTACTTTATTTACACTTTATTACTAACCGTAGTCTATTTAAGATTATATTTCTCCATAGAATTTTGTTAGAAACAGTAGTATATAATAATACCCATTTTTATTGAGTATCTAGAGTGTATATTTTACATAACTCCATGAAGATATTCACACTACTTCCCATGTAACAAGACTGAAGCTGATAGGCACTTTTAAGTTCAGGTTTTTAAAGGTCTCTTGGTCAGTAAATGGTAATCAGGGATTTGAACCTAAACCTTAATTAGTTTCCAGAGACCGTGAATTCCCTTGTTATATTCCCTCATTCTTATGTTAAGTCATATTTTCTCCATGTGTCATTTTTGTATAGTAGTTCACAAATAATAATGAACATATAACAGTAGCAATCATTCAATATAGTAAGATATGGAACTTATCATTGGGAACTAATAGCCCTTAACTATCAAACTCATATATAAAATCACATTCTATTGTAAGTCTCTATAGATGCCAGCTTAATGGTCTCCCAAGCTATGGGGTGTTGTTTCTAAATGATGGGTCTTTATGAAATAAGGGATTATAAAAGTTTGCCAAGCCATTATTTTTAACAAAAACAAGTAAAATAAAATAGAGTAGAATGGCAAACAGAATGATTCAAAATTTAGTACACTTAATGGGTTTTGTGTATATGTGTGAAACTTTTCTTTTTCAGTTGGTCTTACTCTGTGTGTGTGTGTGTGTGTGTGTGTGTGTGTGTGTGTGTGTGTGTGCTTACTGGACTTGAGTAAAATGTGTTTTTAGCTATACATTATAATCACAAAAGTTTGAAAAATACCAGTCTGAGATTGTGTAATGACTCATGCTTGTAATCCCAGCACTCAAAAGGATGAGACAGGAGAATTGCTATGAATTTGTCAGCCTGGGGTATATAGTGAGTTACAGGCCAGCTTTGGCTACAGGTGCAAAAAAAAAAAAAAAAAAGAAAGAAAGAAAGAAAGAAAGAAGAAAGGAAAACACTAATTCTGAGGACTGTTCTAAAGAAGACAGGCTTTATATTAGCTTTTACAGTGCTTGGCGGTCTATCATATCAGTACTTTATAGACTTATTTGCCAGATAGATTTGTGTTATATCTAAAGCAAGTCTGGCCACAGTAACAGGGAAAATGACTGTTTCTCACGTGAAATTTTATTTTCTGGTGGGAAGAGAGATGATTAAGTAATTACAGGGTATGAAAAGTGTGTGTTATAGCAGAGATGATTCAAGAAGGGGAGGCTTGGTGACCTGAAAGGTGGGGCATGAGCTTGGTTGCTGAAGGAGCCATTCCAATGAAGAACTTACTTCAAAAAGAATAGGGTTTTTACTGATGTTTTATTTGTGGGGAAAGTGTGTTTCATATTCTCTCAAGTACTAAAAGCTGGACAGTCTGTTTCTAATTATCTAAATATAATTTTAGAATTCAAGTAAATTAAAAATATACTGTGAATTGATTTTAAATTCAGAATACTTGGTATCTAAATTATTTGTCCACCTGCCCTGCCCTCTGAGTGCTGGGGTCAAAGGCATGTACCAAAATGACCGATGTCATGGTTCTTAAATTGTAACACACAGAAACTGGACAGAATTATATATGCATCAATAAAGAATGAATAGACACATGGTCTGTTCATATGACAGAATGCAGTTTCAGCATCGCTAACTGAAAGTCCAACCAGCCCTGAGAAGTGGGGTTCTCAACATGGACTGCCTGGTGATACAAAGTCTCACACTGCTGAGAGCCACAGTAGCTTAAATAAATAGCAGGTATACTAAGTTACCTGCTTAGTTATACTAAGTAACCTGCACACACCGGTGGAACAGGGTACCAAGAAGCTGTCACTGCTTACCAGGAAGTATAGGGTGAGCTCAGTGATGGTGGTAAGCAGACTCCCCAGGTGGGGGAAAGTGATAATGTGAAGCTTTACTTTGTCAGCAGATAAGTGTTAAAACTTATTAAGCTGAGAATGATTGCATATTACTAAGTGTAATCATACCTCTGTAAAATTTATTCTTTTAAAATTCAGTTGTGTTCCTATGTGAAAAGTAAAAGAAGTTAGAAGTACTATTATAGTAGCTACAAAGTAATGTGCATAGAGTAAGTTCAAAGCGATGCATAGTAAGACATTCTGATAGAAAGGAATGTTCAGTTTTAAATTTACTGTAATAGGAATGCTTACCATGAGACCGATCTTCTTACTTTTTAAGTATAAACTAAAATGCAGATCATTTTTAAATTATTTATTTATTTTTATTCCATGTGCATTTTTTGTGTTTTGCTTGTGTATATAGATACCCTGAAACTGGAGTTACAGGCAATTATGAACTGCCATGCAGTGTTGGGAATTGAAACCAGGTCTTCTGGAAGAGCAACCAGTGCTCTTAACTGCTAAACTAAGCTATCTCTCCAGCCCCTCCACTGCAGACCTTTAAAACTTAGTCATTTCCTAACCTGTAGCTCTGTAGCTGTTGATTAGTGTTTTCCTATTCCACCCCCATCCCACCCCCTTTTAGCTCCTGGCAGCCATTATTCTACTCTTTGATGTGATTAATTGGACTCTTAAGTGAGTGGAATCATAGTCTGGTTTGGAGTTTTATTCAAACATAGTCTTGTATGTTCCCAGGCTGAAACTGCATTCTGTCTCACATGTGAACAGATCATGTGTTTATTCATTCTGTATTGATGCACATCATGAGATGAAAAGGTAAATAAAAAGGTTGGTATCCAGCAGTGACATTCAGTCCTGAAGAAAGTTGATACTAACCTTAGAGTCTTCAAGAGTTTACTGAGGCCTGAAGCAGTGCACACGCCTTTTATCCCAGCACTCAGGGGGCAGAAGCAGGCAGATCTCTGTGAGATGGAGACCAGCCTGGTCTACAGAGTGAGTTCCAGCTCAGCCAGGGCTCCACAGAGAAACCCCGTCTGGGTGGTAGTGGTGGTAGTGTTTACAGCAGAGTTTCCTAGAATTGCTTGTTGATGATGAGACCGTTGAAAGAGAGCTCTACAGCTATTCAGTTCCCTCTGTCCTTGGTTCCTGTGCGACTGAGAACCTTCCGGCGACTACCAGGAACAACTGGTGGAACCATACTCATATCAGCGTGCATAAGTACATGGGATAACGTCCTTGGACTTGGCACAGGCCAGCTACTTTAGGACTTTGTAGTTCTAGACTGAGAGAGGGAAAATTTACTGGCAAGTTAGAAAAGGGTTAAAATGAAAGGTTAAAGGAAGCAAAGTTTTACATTTTCAGATATTCAGGATTGTAAAATATAAAGAGAAAACATTTTCAGTGTCAGTATGAAGACACGAAATCCTAGAATCCTTTGGTAGCATCATTTAGCCTTAGAGAATAAACTCTGAGTTCCTCTCACCCTCACAGAGGCTCCACAAGCCTTTTCCCCCTCGTCCCGGCTCACTTCAGTCTCTTTGGTTTTCAGTGCAGTTGTAAGTTGTTGGAGCATCTACAGCTACCACACTCTCGCGTTCTTGGTCAGGCATTGGCTCTTCTCTCCTGAAAGCTGCCTCTCTGTTCTGGACTGCTCTCTGCTGTTTTCCCTTAGATTTACTAGAAGCGTTCTAGTCTCTTGTTTAACTCTGCACTGTGGGAAGTACAAGAACACAGGACACACAGTATCAAGTGTCTGGTAAACATTCAGTAGATAAATGAAGGGCCATAGTGAGAGCCTGTTTTCATATTGTTTGCTGACTGATAACAGAGCAATAATGAATAATTGGCAGTAGGAAGTTTCTATGAAGTAAAGGTTTATAAAGAGAGGAAATAAATTTTCCTGTGAAGGTCTTCAAAGCAGAATGGATTTTTACTGCACAATCAGTTGCAATCGGGATAACTTTGTCACTTTGGGGTTTTAAGTTCCATGTGTCCTCTCATTCCTGCTGTCTTGAACCCTGTGCGGTAATACCTTTCTTGTTACATAGATGCTTACATCTGTGCATCTCCTGCACAGCTTTAGCTTGATCTGCCCGGGGCAACAAGGGAGTGAAGAAAGGACAGACACACAGACACACCACACATGCAGAAAAGCTGACCCTCTGATAGTCTAAGGGAAGCTACTCCAGCAGCCTGGAGACTCGGTGCATTCCTTCTTTACCACCTAGTGGAGAGGGGCTGACCTCAGGGGGAGGTCTCTGTGGGAAGCAGTCTCAGGTTGCATCCAGGTGGCAGTTTCCCGGAGGAGGAAACTGTGTTTGATAGCTCCCTACACTGGCTTAGCTAAAGGTCATCACTTCCTTTCCAGTATTTATACTTAGACCAAAGGAAGGCTTTGCAGTTCCCGTGGATCTGAGGTTCTGGGTTTCTTGGCGTGATTGTGTCCCATTCACTCTGGACTTCATCTGCTCCCCACACATCCAGCCTTTCTCTTGTCTTGGAACTTGTACTAGAACGCAGCTGCCGCGTCTGTCCCGAATCCCAGCATTCTGCTGAACATTCTCATGACTACTCAAACTGTTGACTTCATGTCTGGGGGCATTTTCTAAGTCGCCTACCACAGCCCGGTAGTCTTACCTGGTTCCATATGTTCCAACTGTGTTTAAGTTATTCTATGGGAAAGCCAGAGTTTTGATTTTCCCAAAAGACAACTCATAACAATAGATGCCATTAACCTTTTTAATTTTACACAGTTTTTTCAAGACTACCATTACCTAAACAAGAACTTGTTTAAGTACGAATTACCTTCTAAGTCTGCTGACTTAAGAAGGAAACAGCTAAACTGGAAGCTTCTTTAAAAGAAA